ATTATAACACAAATATAATTGGTGAAAAATATTATCCAAATTCTGTTGTATTATAACACAAATATAATTGGTGAAAAATATTATCCAAATTCTGTTGTATTATAACACAAATATAATTGGTGAAAAATTACACTTTACTACCTTAATCCAGTTCACACCAAAACAGTTGTTAACAAGCAGTTTGCTAATATGAATAGCGTCTCAACTACTACTATGAGGAACCCTGGTGTTGTATGAAAAGGCTCGTCGGAAACGGATATGACTCGCATGGTATGAATGACTGATATCTTCTTTAATTTCACTCTGAAGTTGTTAATAATAATTATTAATGTAGTCTTTTTTTCCGGCGTTGGCGCTGTGATATTTTGTCCCGCTCTGGGATGAAAAAGACTAACTTGCAGTTCTTCTGATGTGACATAAATAACATTTATGAAAAATTACATTCTGCCAACTTAGCCCAGTCCTCACCGAATAGGTTTACATATTATGCATTCATATTTATTTTCAGTTGGAAGCTCTTATTAATAACTTATTGTAAATAAATTCCATACTTCCATTATATTCTATGAAACTATGCATGATAATTGGTTAACAGTTCGTCCCTTGGTGGGACAGCAGTAAGTTTACTGACTTATAACGCTAAAATCCGGTATACGATTCCAGTGGTGGACACAGCAGATAGCCCAATATGGCTTTATTCTAAAACAAACGTAATGGTATTCCGGTTCCCTGATGGATGTCTGACAGAAAAACCAAACCTTTTCACAAAACGCAGGTTTAGAACTGTTAATGGAAGAATAAACAGAACAGAAGAGAAGAATAACCAAAACAAGTTTATTTTAAAACATAAGATTCTTTATCACTGTGCACAGCGGTATGTCTGCGGACTTGCAACGCTACAAATCGGGTTTCGATACCCGTGGTGGGCAGACCACAGATAGCCCACTGTGTAGCTTTCAAAACAAACAAACTTTATTACTGTACTGTGTTCTGTTACCAAAACTGACCCAGGCTTTTTCTGTGTTGTCTCACTGCTGGGGTTGAAGGCAAGAGAATTACAAAATAAAGAGATTGTACTACAGAAATTCCCGAGTTTAATACCCTGGCAGAACAAAAAGCAAAATATCTCACAGTTTTAAGACCATTTAGTTGTACAAGTTTCAGTATTGCCTTTATGGATAGACTACCTTCCGAGAAATGCTAGTTAGTAACCTAAGGACAAATGTACTGTGTTAATATACGACTCCTACAGAGATTATGATCATATATATAATATAGGACTCAATACGAAAGTTACATTTACCACTAAGTATAATGATGCTATTAATACTATTTTTATTTAATTTAAGATTATTTAACATGGAAATACTACGTTTAAAACGATTTCGATTAGGAAATTATTTATTTGACAAAGGAACAATAGCTTTTGTGGAAAGTTTTGCGTTTTGTACCAGAACTTCGTTCAATTTGGACGGATCTTTTCAAAATTTTTTATGAACGTTCGTTGCATACTTGCGTATTTACAAGTAAAATTCTAGCTACGTATTATCATTTTTGCGACTTTTGTGGCCCTTTTCCTACTACTTTATTAGCTTTCTGAAAGAGTATGTGTACTGCAGAGAAGCTTTTTGATTCTTCTCTGTTATCGATTACCTGCTACCACAGGTTACTAAATCGATGGATCTTAACCAAATTCGGTATGTATATTAACTAGTTCGTTCACAGTATCATTCGAAGTTTCACCTTCCTACTATTCGTATTAAGAGAGTTATGGGAGGTTTTGCGTTTTGTATTGCATAAAATATTTTAAGAAGATTCGTCTAAATGTGACAAAGTACTGGTACGCTTTCAGTGAAGCCAATAAAAGAGTAACTAAAACGACCACGAAAATCGTAAAACTAACAATAGAAAGTTTGAATTTTGTAAGTAAATGTCAAAAGTTCCCACGAACCCAGTAACCAAAAGCTTCACTGCATTACACACTCTGCATATAACTGTGCAACGTTAGAGTGTACCTACATACTTAATTGTAAAGAACCATC